TGACATGTCTAGACCGACATGCCTACACCCACGGCCCCTTGTCGTCAGGGTGCGTGCCATGTCACCTGTCACCGGGGGTTCGTGCCATTATCACCGGGGTGGATGTGTAACCATATAATCCCTGCCGCTGATGAGCCACTTCTTGGGAGCAAAGCCCCAACCCCGGGCTAAAGGAACCTCTGCCTCCCTCTGTCCCAGGGTTGAGCCAGCCGCCTGTGCGGGAGTGGCCAGGATTGCTGGGAGCGTGCAGGCGAACTCGGTTGAATCAGGACAAAGGTCTGGCCACACCAGTGTGACCGTGAGACTCTTTGCTTTTAAAATGAGAAGAGGTAAGGGCTCTTCTGCGAGGTGTCCCTGCAGGACACGTCCAGAAGCATTTCTCTTCCTGAGGGTCCATTAAGGCCTGCGCCGCTAGAAGCTGCTGCACCCTGTCCGAGCCCCTCTCCACCCTTCTTTTCCTCTTACGTGAGAAAAGCTGCAGCAAGGGAGGTTTAGGCTGGATATGAGGACAAACTTCTTCACTAGGAGGGTGGTGAAGCACTGGATTAGGCTACCTGGAGAGATTGTGAGCTCTCCATCCTTGGAGGGTTTGAAGGCCCCGGGGAAGACAAAGCTTTGGCTGGGATGATCTAGTTGGGGTTGGTCCTGCTTTGAGCAGGGGGTTGGACTAGATGTGCCCTCCTGAGGTCCCTTTCTTCCAACCCTCATTGTCCATAAGTCTGAGGTGGGTGTTTGGCTTTGTGTCACTTATGTCATTGCTCCTGGCACCAAGAGATGATCTCCCATCTATGCAAATCTTCCTCTCCCTCCATCTCCTTTGTCTTCCTCCCACCTCAAGTGTTCCCCTCCTTTCTTCCCCCTAACACACACCTCTTCTGACAGGGTGGCAGCCATTGCTACCCCTTCTGACATCCTGCAGAAGCAATACCACAACTTTTGTGTGATAGTTGGTATTTTCCTTAATACTCCCACAATCCTGTTTTTATGTAAGTTTTCCTTTCCAAATGAAAGTGTACAGCAGTCTGGGATGCAAAGAAAAGCTTGGAAATCAGAAAGCCATAACCAGGGCGGGGAAAACTCATTGTACTTATGATTCCAGAGAGGTACTTAGCTGAGTTAGGCAGAGGGCAGGACAGGGTGGCTGGCACCTTATAAACTAATTCAGAGAGGCAAAGTTTGATGGTTTTGGCAGAGCAGCTGATGGCTGTAGCCGATGACAACTCAAGCCTCTGAACCAAATAGTCTACAAAGTGCCGCCCTGCCCTGCCAGTCTAACACTGCTAATCACCTTTCTATAGGCCTACCTTGTAATATTTTAGGAAGAAGGAAGGGGAAGGAAGAATGATTCATGATTATTTCACTGTTTGGTGGTGGTCAGCCTGTTATTGGGATTATTAGCAACATTGTTAATAGAAAAGAAGTAAAAAATGCTAGTTCGTTTGGGGTTTCCAAGGCATCGTAGCAATGAAATAGGATATGAGGCCACCCCCACCACTTTCATACCATCTCCTTGCCAACGCAAGATTGTTCCTGACAGTATATTTTCTCTTGCCTTGACCAAAGTCAGGATGAGAGAGTGGGCCACATGTTGTGATGAGGCCATCAGCCTTACACTAGAGTCTGTGTTCCCACTGTGACATTAGGGCTAGCAAGTCATCATGGTGTTAGCTGAACTAACAAGCACTGTCAAAATTAAAGTACAAGGAGGGGGGACAGTAGACAAAGCGCCACTTGTTCCAGTCTGAAGTCACTTTTAACTCCTTTGATGTTTCCAAAATGCAGAGCCAGCTTCTGTTTACACCCAGGATAAATTGGACGTAACTCCATTCAAGCCAGTCGGTGAAATCTAGCTCCTACAAAAGACAGTGGGTAATCAGGATCAGGATTTTTGCCAATATCATTGCATTGCTGCTAATGAGCTCAGAATCAGGTCACTAGTCTCAGAACCATTTTAATAGACGAGCGGCCATTCAAACAAAGGATTCTCCTTATCTGTTTGCACTATTGTAGTACCTCTGGGAGCCCTATTCATGAATCAGGACCACATTTTGCTAGGCACTGCATAAAAATGCCAGTAGCCCCGCAGCTGTAAGGAAGGAGGATTAGATGCTGAGGTTAGCACTGACCTATTCTGCTACCAGCCTCCTTAACTCCCGCAGTGAAATAAATATCAGTCAACTACCTAGAAAATTTTGATTGATGCAAATAACAAGCACAGTAATTGGCAAAGGCCAACAAAGGTCTGCACAGATTAGCACATTTCATCTTCATTTGATGTGGTCCAGATTAATTTTCTTAGCTCCCAAAGTATTAGTTGACCTTGCAATAATAATCATTTATTTATTGCTGCAATAATTCCCAGAGCCATGACTGGATCAGGATCGCTTGCAACGGGGGTTGCAAACACATTGTTTCAGAGTTTATGGCCTAAAGCTTGATTCTGCTATTTGCTGCATGCAGGTAGATTGCTAAACCACACTTAAGGCAACAAGTGAAAAGACCAAGGGACTTCATGCAAGACCAGACAGGTTGGTAAAACAAACAAGGTGGGAATAAGAAATACAGGATGTTCCATCACAGATTAGTTGCGGGTATAATACATGGCTAATCTTCAATTGCAATAATTGCAGCTGGCTACTTGCTTAGTTTAGCTGTAGTATTGCAAGCCGGGTAAGTGAACCATTTAGCTTCACTGTACCTTCAACGAGTGCTTTTGTATTAGAGCCGATTGAAATGTTCCAAATGAAAATTGTTTAACTGAAAAATGACATTTTCTCCAGCAATGAAAATGTTCATCGCACAACTTTAATCTTTTGAAACATATTGTCTTTCCTATTCCTCATGATGAAACCTGAAAATGTTTTCAGTGGTTTAATTTCCATGTTCTAGGTTTTTCGTCCTTCATTTTCAGTAATGATATAATGGGGAAAAGTGGGAAAATAAGCTGAAAGCCTGGATGTTTTTATTCCCAAAGTTTTCAATGTTTCTTTTTGCTTGAAAAAATAATTACATAAAAATTTCTCCATTTTTAAACCACTAATTGAAAATTATTCCCAAATACGTGAAACCCTCTATGAAAACTTCTCTTATTTTTCTGCTTCCTCTTCCCTCTTTGGTCTTGATTCTCCAGTGACTCAGGTGTGTGCTTTACCCATGCATTGCAAGTAATTGCTAGGGCCGTGTGAAACTTCAGGTGGTGATTCAATTTGCAGGAGATTCGGCCTGATTCAGTGGCCGAATCTCTGAATCCGAATCGAATCAGAGAACCAATTTAAAGGTCCGAATCGATTCAAAGCTCTCCGAATCTTTGGAAGAGATCCGGAGAGCTTTGATGATTCGGGCAGTCCCCGGTGGCTGCAGTAGGGAGCTGTAGCCCACTCCGAGTTGGTAAGTACTAGGGGTGGGGGAGGGGACCGTGGGGGGACCCCTGCCAGCCCCCATCCCCTGCCTGATCCCTCAGCCCCCCAACCACCACCCGCTCACCCAGCCCCCCCATGGCTGCCCCTGCCTGCCCCAGCTCCCCAGTGCTGCCGGGCAGAAGGGGGTGGTGATCCCTGCTGCCCCACACTGCATGGGGGGCACTGCCACGAGACTCCAGCCCTCCCAGGCCAGCTCCGGCCCTTTAAGAAAAAAAAAAACAATGGAGAAAAGCCCTGGGACTCTCTGCTCCTGCAGTGGCCTCGGGGGCATGTGCAGACCCCCCACGTGTCATGGGGTAATGGGGGGCAGCGGGGATTGCCCCCACTGACAGGAAGGGTGAATGCGGGTTTTTTTTCTTTTTTCTTAAAGGGCCAGAGCTGGCCTGGGCGGGGCACATGTTGTGGGGGTGGGGGAGTGAGGTTGGGGGGGCTGGTGCAGAGCCCCCCCATGCAGTGTGGGGCAGTGGGGGGCAGCAGGGATCACCCCCTGCCCAACATCATCCAGTGAGTTTGGGGTTTGTTTTTTTTTAACAGATGCCAGAGCTGGGGTGAGTGGGGCAGCCACTGCCGGGCTGAGAGAGCGGGCAGGGGATGGACCTTACCTGGCTGATTTAGCAGATCGAATCGGGACAGTGATTCGAATCACCGAATCAAATCACTGTCCCCCAAATCATTGAAATCCAACACGAATACTAGCCGCTTCGCACAGG